TTCTCTTAAATTTTCACTGATGAGATTAACCAGGGTTCCTCTGCCTGTCACTATTCATCTGAACCTCATCAGGCTTTTGTGTTCACTATGATTAATCACATAATCTTACTATAACCTGGTGCAATGACCACAACTTGCAACTTGGAAGGTTCAAACTGGACGTTTGAGAAAGCTTGTTCACCAGCAGTAGTGTAGTGTGATAGTAGCTTTCACAGACAGGTTGTGAAACACCCATGCTTAGAGATTTTTAATACTGGCTAAACACAGTATGACTGCACTGGTGTTGGTGATGATCCTGCTCAAAGTGGGGCTGACTAGAGACCACCAAAGCAACCAACACTTCCATCTTCAGCTGTCTGCACTTCAGCTATAATAAACCTTAACAGTATCTAGCATTTCAGGTTTGATCCAGACCTGGTATATTGCAAAATATGATTCAGACTAAGAGACATATTTTAAACACCAGTTACCTAAATATGTCAGCTTTCAGGATAATTTCTACTACAAAAAAGACACTTGGTAAAATCAACAAGATTAAAATATTTTCCATCTCAATGCACCGGTTTTATCTCAAGTATCTGATCAAAAACAAATAGCAAAAAATATTTGATAAGTACCTGCACAAATATACGATCCAACAACTTTAGCTGACTATCAGGCCAAAGATTTTTAACCAGCAATGTGCTGATCTTTAATTTGTATTAATTAGCTATGCTGTTTAGTTTAAAAAATTGTAGTGTAATCCTATAATATAGGAGTCTAAAATTTATTTTCTCATCTGGGACAAGAAGCAGCTGGGAGCATTGTCATGGCAACCATCTCATTTCCAAAGAGATTCTGTGACTTCTGTTGCTTCAACTTCACAGCATAGCATTGTTAAAAAAAAAAAAAAAAGAGAGGGTTTTTATATAAAGATATAAAGCAATATACTATCACAAGAAATGCTTTGGAAGGATCTTAAAAAAAAATAAATAAACAAATGCTTCAGAACATAAAGCAGACTTTAAATAAACAAATTAAATTCTCAGTTTGATGATGAGCCCAGGGAAGGAAACCGAACCAAAGCCCAAACTCCAACCGCATATATCCTGCCACACTAAGGTGAGCTGTGCAGCTGAGTGTGGCCTCAGTGTCCCCTGGAAGCTGGGGGTATCACACATCTCCCGCCTCGCGCCAGCCACGTGACGTAGCTCCGTGGTCCTGGGGCTGTTAAGGGAAATGGATAGCAATGTGAATAATACACAGGGGGTGGATAGGCTGGGAGCAGAAAAACTTCTACCAAAACAAGTCATCTCATTGCCCACAGCTGTGGTCAGGAGTGAGGTTGATATCACATCATAAGAATTAGTCAGCTTGCTCAACAACTATTGAAAGGTTTTCAGGAAGTGTGATGCTAAGGACCTGTAGTCTAAGAACAGACTAGAAAATGTGTAATACCTCTTTAACACACCGATTCTGAAAATTAACCTATGGAATTAGAAATCAAGGGAAGTACATGCACAGATCTCAGGGTTATGATTTAAACTGTGGTTTATTTCCCCTTGCTTCAGTTTGGTTAGCTTAGTGACCCTTCTTGACTGTTGCATTGTAAGCATTCATGGTTATGGCATACTTCGGCCACAGATGATGATGACTCACAAGGCCATACACATGTGAAAAATATTCCTACAGTGTAGGTTAGGAGTTCTGAAGCATCTTGTATCTGCAGCCATCATGTGTAATAGCTCTAACACTGTGCTCCAGCAGCAGAGACCAATACCTCTTGCAGTGTCTGGAGAAAGGACACTGAATTTCCCTTCAATAGTAAGGTTGAAGAGGAGAGCAATATCTTCAGATGTGTTTATGTACTTTTTTTCCACAGGTATTTATATAACCTGGCTGGTTATATAATACTGGTAAATACTGGTACAAATACTGGTAATTTTAGCCTGTAATTTGTTCATGAAGGAGCTAACTGAAGCAAGTAAGCACTGCTAAAACTATCAAACACAGCAGAGTCCATTTTATGGTTTGGAGTTCTGTTGATAAACTGTATTAATATTCTCAGTGATGCATGTTATTGCAGAAATACCTGTTTATTCAAATGCCTAACTTGGAACAGAAAAGAATTTAGGCAGTAAAAGTATGTAACACAAACTATATGTAAAGTATTAAAAATATATGAAGAAAACTCATGCGAGCACCATTTAAAGGGAAAAAAAAAAACAAACCAAAGAAGCAATAAACAGCACTTAAATCAAGTTAGACATTTAAGACTTCATATCCATAATCACTGCCTACAGTGAAGCACATTTGAGAAAGTGGAATTTTGTCTAGTTTAAAAAAGGCTACCAGTTTGAACAACAAAAAGCCTAAAAAAGGCCAAGGTACTGCAAAGCTATAAAGGCACTTAATGAGCTTCAGAGGGCTAGATTAGTCTGTCACATAAAAGGTGCATAAACAGCTACAATGTATGAAAGAGACCATGCAGATTTTTTAATACTGATTTAAGAGACAAAGAGGCTGAATTCTTCAAGTATGTTTCTTTCCTGCGTGGTACTAATGAAGTGGGCTGGAAGCAGCAGGTGACTCTCAGTGTTAGGTACTGGAGTTTCAGTTGACATTTTGCATGAGGAGCTACTCAGGCTCTCCGGAAATTTTTTTCCTTAAGGAAAAACTGTAAACAGTGCATTTGGTTAAACTCTGGTATTTTCAGTGAACTGTGGCTGACTCTGTACAATCAAACCGCAGGGTACTCGTAAAGGGTTTGGAAAAAAAAAAAAATCTACAATAAACTAAGCCTTGATCATATTACAAAGAAAGCACAGCAATTTGGTCAGATCTTTCAAGGACAAATGACCTCTCTGCCATCAGCTAGCTACCTGGTGACAGAAATAATTGGTTGCTACCACTGAAGCACTTGAAAGCACAAGTGATGTATACAATTATTTCTGCCAGCAACAGCTGAATAGCTTTTGTTACAGCAATTTCAACAATACCCTTGTAGTCTTCATAAAAACAAAGGGCAAATAGAAGTAAAAAAATTCTGTGTAATAGAATTAACAGGAAAACAAACCAAAACAAAAGAGGGAGTATCAACACTACAATTACAAAATGAGGTTTCTCAAGTAATCTCTCCCAGCTGTCTATGGACTCACATGCCTGACATCGGGGACCCTTAAAAAGCTACAGGTAGCAATATTATTTTTATGTAAGGAGCACCTGGATACTTTAATCACATACCTGGTGACACCACCATGGCTCGGTTCTCATCACTGTTGGTAAATATGATGACGAATGCTGCACTTACTCCTCAATAAGCCTGTCTTCTAGTAACTGCTCCACCTCTCATCCAAACTACTCCTCTTTGTAAGAGGTAGTGGTTAGTGCTGAAAAAATACCGCCTTACTAGGAGGCTCTAATATTGATTTCCAAATTCTTCAGATACTTTTACCCCTCAGGGTGTTCTACAACCACAGCTAAGAAACTACATCTTTAATAATACAGCTTATGTATAAGGTGTATTAATATGTAATGAAATGTATTTCCCACCTGCCAAGCTGAAGCAATGTGAACCAAATCTATGGGTGATTAAGAAAATAAACTGGTAGTAGGAAAAGAATCACTCCCCATGTGCAAAAACTAGTTCAAAGTCTTACTCTGGTCTGTCTCAGGAATGGGAAGTATTACTCCCAGTATTTAACAGGATTCTCCTTGCATCTGCCTGATAAGCATCAGTCCTGTGCCCTGCCCACCGGACGATGAGCTTGGGTGGGCTGTTCTCCACTCTGAAACAGAAAGGGAACTGGTGCACCTGTGTGGAACAGACAGCAAGGATCCAGAGAGCTGCCAAGAATGTTCTTATGTTTCAAACAGAAAATAGTCTTTTCAAGACCTTTTTTAGATTTTCACTTGCTCTGTTTTCAAGAGTTCTACTACCTTTTCTATTACTTTTTGACATTTGTATTCAGCTTTAAAAAATCAGTTTTGACCAGTTTTGGTCAAAAAATGCCATGAAAGGTTTTCTTTTCATTGTACATTCACTACCATTTGACCTTGAGCAAATGAGTCTTTAATTCATTTTTATTCCAATCAGCCACACAGAACAAAATAGGTAATAAAAATTAGCTCAGCTGTAATCTGTTCTTGTGCATCATCAATAAAAGAGCTAAACAGCTAAGTTCCACTTCCACAGAAAATTATGTTGTCATTACATCTTCATAACCTTATTGGAGACAAAGTATTACGCAAGGGTCACTGCCAGCATAATTTGAAGGAATAACCTTGCAGTTTCAAAAGCAGGCAGGTTTTCCTGAAGAATCAATACTTATTATGACATAATTCAGAGAGGATTCATAATCCTTCATGGATTTTGAAACAACAGAAATAAAAAAACAAACCAAACAAACCCACAACCTATTTGTGACCTCAAGGAGCTTTCAGTAGCTTAACCTGAAAATAGACCAAAATTCAATACTACTACAGACAGTCTTTTGACTAAAAGCTTCCTGAAAGTTGTTATTTATGGTCTGAATTACCAGATTTTACACACAGTATCAACTTCAAAATAGTCATTTAAGGTCTAAGGCCCTGTCTTTACAGACACTGAAATGATGAAACCAGTAAGATTTTTGAAATTCTATTTGGGTCAAATCTGCCATGGCAGCAATCCTTAAAATTTCTTCAGTTTTTTTTCAAGTCCCTACATTACCTTAACGGTCTTTCTCCAAATTTTTCTCCTTTTAATCATCTATAGCCTCAAGTATCTTACTAAATGAAACACTGCCAGAGAAGTCCCCTGGACACAACAATCTGCTGATTCATAGTGCTAAGCTTGTTCAATAGTTGGCACATCCAAAAAACAAACAGCACAACTCTCCCTCCACTCCCAATAACTCCTGGTTGTGGTAGGGAAGTTAGCACAGGCAGGAAAGAACTCCTGGGGCAGTGTCTGCGTGCTCCGTTTTGGAGAGTACCAGCACGGATGTTGTTCCAGGCAAGCTGGCCTCAGTGCCACTTACCTGTTCAGTGGCTGCTTTTTGGAGATACGGATCACGACGAAGCCTATCGAGTAGGATTTTCCCCAATGCCCTGAGCGCCACAGGTGCATCCTGTGCTTTTCCTGCCCAAGAATTAGCAAAACTTGTGTATTTTTTTTAACCTTTCAACTTACTTTCTTTGGAAACCTGCTTTTGCACTGAAGTTAAAAATTTGAAGTTCTTTCTGTATTCCTTAGACCATCAACAGTAGATGTAAACACTTCTAGTCTCTTTCAGTTCATTAAATAAGCATAATACACAGCTATATATCTGTATTTCATTCTGGCACATCAGAACGAAAAACATGGATTGACACTAAGAATTAACTATATTTCGTACTGGTTATTTTCCTAAAAGAAGTAAGTTTCAAATGAAGCAAAAAAATGACAGGAATACAAATCATCATTCACCATCTACTAACTTGTCGAGAGCAGCAGGATTAAGGTCAAAGAGCATGTCTTAAAAAACAAAAGTGAAATCCTTTTAGTACCTTAAGGTACTGCTACCACTGTTACACCTGTAAAACCAGAGTCCTTTCACTGAACTGTAAAACAAACTTTGCCCTCTGAGCTACTAATCACACACACCCTTTACACAATTAAAGGGCCATTAACATTAAAGTGGAGATGTTTAAACGGATCTTAAGTGATTTAATACACTTTTCACTAAATTGGAAGAGACTATGTACTTAAATTGCACAGATTGCTTTGGAAATCTTGGCATGTGGTTACTAAAAAGGGTTGCTTTAATAATATGCAGAAAGAACTCTATATAAATGCTTAATAAAGGTGCGCTTTAAGAAGATTACTTACTTGATTTTCTTCAGGAAGCTCACAGACGTCCTATTTGAGTATCCCATATTTATTACTAAATTTATCCTTAAGGTTAGACAAACTTCTCATATTTCATACAGAAATTGGAACAGAAATTGTAAGCAATTTCCACAAAGTCCAGCAGCTGCCTCAGAACCCAAGGTCCTTGATTGTAGTTCAAAGTCTTCTTTGCAAATACAAATCTTAACCACAAGCCAGCCTTCTTCTTTAGAGCAATATACACCCCATTTACAGAGCCATGAGTGTCCCCACTTCATCAAAAAGATAACAAAGATTTTCCTTTTTAAACTTCAAGGTGAGAAATCTGTACATTAAATCTCTTCCTTAAGATATGAAGCATGGAAGCATCTTTGGTGAATTAATGTTAAAATTATTTTAAACTGTTCTAAGCACCTTCCAGGCCACCTGAAATTATTAGCAAAACATGTCTCCTCTCCCTTCTACACAGCCTATCAAACTCATGTTGTCCACTCATTCAGAACATGGATAAATGTGCTCTGAAGCTACAGATCCTTCAGATGCAGCAAGCTGATTGTGTTACTCGCACTCACTGCCAGAAACAGAAGAGTTCCTGCTTCTGACCGTGAGCACCTGCTTCTGGTGCTCACTTTCTGCTGGCTCAGGTATTTCTTTGATCCTTCCATGGACTGATTTAACTCTCTAAAATGTAACAGAAATCCAGCAGAAAGATGTTCAAATTTCTCCCAAGTTCATGGATGGCAAAGCCTGAGAAATAGCAGAACTTGGAGGCAGAAGGATTACCCAGTCCAAGCTGAGGGAGCAAGTCTCCCTCCCTTTGGAAGCAGGAAATGAGCTTGCCCATAGTCCAAGGGGATTTTGTACATCTTTTAATTTATTTTCTGACTTATCAGCTGCTTCAGCTTACCATCTGCCTGCTGTTATGTCAAGTAACCTCACTAAAAGCTTTTTCTTTTGGGGAGGGGGAAAACGGATATGTCAGATCTAACATAGAAGACAGACTACTAAAAATCTGCAAATAAGGACAAGGAAATAAAACTGAACTATGGCAAATATTTAATTTCTGCAGAAATACAGCCTTGCATTATTCTAGTGACTGCCATAGGAAAGCTATCAAATAAGCTTTGCCTACTGGCATTTGTAACAGCCCAAGACCACATTACGACTTCAAATGACCAAGACACTCTGGCTAGGACCTCTTCTCTCACTTGATGCACACACTCCACTTCTAAAATAAATTTAAAACAACAAAAAAGTAGTTGTTAGCACTGTAACTAGCCTTAGCTCAGCAGCAGACCAACAAACTGCTACAAATCACTACATATCACAAAGGTATCTGAAAAGGAGAGGAATAATGTCCATGACTGAGGAAATAACATAAGGTAAGAAGATCTTTGGGCTTGGATTGTTCATGTAACAGGTTTCTGGGGCTGGGGCAGTTTTCTGCTGAGGAAGGCAGGGGAGTGGTATGCTGCATCTGATCCCAATGCACAAAGAAATTGCCTGGACCTTCATACATCACTGCTAGGGAAGAGAGAAGTGCTGGATTTTCCATATGCTTCTTTCAAAGTTTTATTAGGATCCTTACAATTCTTGTAGATTTTTTTACTCTGAACTATTAACAAAGACTTTCATCATTTAATGGCCTGAATTCTCCATTCTCCCTTCAAGACAGATCAAATCCACGAGCAGACACAATGGAAGAAGGCAGAAATATTGCTCTTCTTACCTTTATAAAAAGGAAAAATGCATTGGTATAATTAGTTATCAAACCAACTGTCATTAAAACAACTTAATGCAATTTAATTGTCATTCCAATTACTATTAAACAAAGTAACTCATGGCTTGTACTTTCCAGGACAGCATAGCAAGAACATTGCTCCACCTTGAAAGAATTGCTCCCCATTTCTTCTATGACTTTTGCAGGGAGATGATACTGAAAAAGGAGGCGTTTTGAGTTTTTGAAAAGGCAACATGACACTCATTTCAGTAAATCCTTCCATCAAGACTATCCAAATATTCTCTTGTCTCTATTGGATATGTTTTACTTAATATACAAAACAATGAGGCCATTAAAGCAAAACAAAAACACGACCAAAAATGTACATCTTACTTTGCAAAGACTTAAACCTTTCATTGCCCCAAAAATATTGGTTTATTTCTTCTCCAGAATCCCAGAAGTTGACTTAACTTCCAGTTGAGTAACAAGTACTCAACTTTTTACAACAGTTAGCTGTTACAAGGGGAATAAACACTCTTTTGCAGCTTTTATGTTTCACAGCATACTTCTACATACATATTCTAAGACAATTTATAGCCCTTCTAAGTGTTTGGCAGAACAAATAAATACATTAGAATTGACTTTGTTTCAGGTGTACTTTAAGTGAATGTTAAATACCATTTTCAGAATCAGATAAATACCCATACTGTGTGGATACTGTTAGCAAGAAGCTAGCAATTTTAAAAATGGAAAAGAACAGTATTTATGCTAAAAAAGACAGAAATATTTACAGACAGTTGCTAATAGGGTTTGGCTGGCACTGCTGTCAGTTTAATTTGCAAATGCTCATCTAATGGAAAACAATTTTTTCAACTTTTCTCCAAGTTACTGGGCAGCTTGAAAAGATACTGCAGTACAGACACACAGGCATGTTCAAAGAACTAAGTTTTGCCAGTGACTTGGCCTACCTAGAGGCAGTCATATACTTAAAAACATAATTTAAAAGATGAGTGGGATTTCCTTTCCTACTATACTTCTGTGTTTTTTCTTTCATTTTCAGAATTTTATTCTGTATTTGGCCTCAAATCATACCACTGATAAGATGAATGCCCAGCACACAAAAAACAGTAAGAACCAAAAGTGTTGTAGAAGTGATACCTGGATTTAGAAAGGAAAGGATCCAAGATAAACACATTCATCATGTTATATGGATACCTTGGGTTCACAATTAACTTGACAGAGCTTAAAAGACTTTCTGATGTTGGGTGTTTTTTTCCCCCCCCAAAGAGTTTTTAGCAGAAAGTAGATCAGAATAAAACTGGGCAATAAAAAGTGGAAAGTCCTTGAACTAAAGTGCACAGGCAACAAACGATGTAAAATAAAACGATTTTTTTTTATGTAAAACATGACAAACTGATACAGCAGACTACTCAGTAAACCCACGACTCAGTTTTGAATGGATCTGTTCATTTCAGAACTCAAGAGCAAATATAAAACATTAGTCATCCTAAAACTGAACTCCACTTGTTACCTTTGAATTTTTTTATATGCTGTCTTATGATGAAGACATTCATTCAGACATTCCGATTGCTTAGCATATCATATAATTTATAGCAATTCTCTACAGAACAATATAGTTAATTCAGCATCAACAACTTGACACAGATACAGTATTGAAGCCATGTCCTCTTTTGCCTGTCAAGTACAAAACAGCTTATATAGACTAAAAAAAGCTACACACCACAGTTGTAGCATACCGTATTTTGTGCCTAATTAAATTTTACAGTAGTAGCTTTTTGATCCAAGACAAATAACCACGATACCATGTAACAGTTGTGCAAACTTAGACATAGGAGGAAGACTTAACTACCTCCTTTTTCCAGAACTACTTTTCCCTGCTTTACTGTTGCTACTACCAGACTTGCTGGAAGATTTTGAAGAGAAAAGTCTTGTCATGAATTCAGACACATCTGGCAGCTCATGGTTGGAATTCAGCATGTTCATTGACTGCTCCATCTCCTACATGGAAAGATGAGATAAACTTAATAGCTCGTAACAATTTTGGCCGTTCCTAAGGCATCAATTGAAAGATTACATCAGAAAGGTGTCAAATTTCCCCAAATACTGGTTTACTATTTGTAATCTTCCAGGGCACATATTGCTATACATTTTTATGCAACCACAGCCAAATACCCAGATACACACAGAAACAAAATCCCAAAGCCAAAAGCACTGGTGTATGGAAAAAGGTAACCATGTCTTAAGCAGTCTGACAGGGCAAACCCCCTGATAAAAACAACAAAAATACAGAAGAAAAAAAATGCCATTACTTATTTTTAGCATTACTTCACTCCATTTTAAAATTTACGCTTTTACTTAGATTTTTTCAGATCTACACTCTCATAGATTGCAGATAATTTTTGCTGTTTAGGATTAGTATTATTTATGCTAAATCTAAGAAATATTTGAAGTTGTTTGATGGAATTAGATATTTTTATTGCCCTACTTTGTAACATCAAGCTGTTAGTGTACAGCAGCT